TAGATCATGCTGTAATAGATATTTATCCACCACGGGCATTATGAAGTAGTTTATGCCCTTTCGAAGGTGACAGTTTAGAGATCTTGAGTGGTGCATACAAAATTTTGTCCTACCATTTAGTTTTTGATATTTAGAAAAAAAAAATCATCTTTGGCATTTTTTTATTAGTTGCATTCCAGAACTATAATTTATTTCCTCAGATTTTTTTGAATTTTGATTTTTAAATTTTTGTTTTCATTTTTTGGACTTGTTGATTAAATCTATTCGATTTTTTAAATTTTCTTGGATTTGAGTTTTATTATCGGCAAAGCTGTAGATCATGGTCTAATAGTTATTTATCTACCACGGGTATTATGAAGTAGTTTATGCCCTTTCGAAGGTGACAGTTTAGAAACCTTGGTGGTACATACAAAATTTACTATGTATTTACAAAAAAACTCATCTTTGGCATCCTTTTATTGGTTGCATTCCAGAAGAATAATAATAAGTTTCCTGGGTTTCATGGATTGTTTAAATTTTTTAGATTTTTGGTTTGGAAGATGTTATAGTCGATTATCGGCAAAGTTGTAGATCATGGTCTAATAGATTTTTTTGGTCTACCACGGGTATTATGAAGTAGTTTATGCCCTTTCGAAGATGACAGTTTATAGACCTTGAGTGGTACAGAACAAAATTTTGTCTGACCGATTAGTGTTTGATATTTAAAAAAAAAATCATCTTTGGCATGATATTAGTTGCATTCCAAAACTATAATTTATTTCCTCAGATTTTTTTGAATTTTGATTTTCATTTTTTTTTCATTTTTTGGACTTGTTGGTTATACCTTTTCGATATTTTAAATTTTCTTGAATTTGAGTTTCTTGGGTTTTTTTTATCATCGGCAAAGTTGTAGATCATGGTCCAATAGTTACGGGTATTATGAAATAGTTTATGCCCTTTCCAGAAGAACTAATTTATTTCCCCAGATATTTTGAATTTTGATTTTTAAAAATTTGTTTTGAATTTGTTGGCCATATTCGATTTTTTGGATTTCTTGAGTTTCTTGGGTTTTATGAGTTGTTCGAATTTTTTAGATCTTTGGTTTAGGAGATTTTAAAGTCGATCATCAGCGAAGTTGTAGATCATGGTCTAATAGATTTTTTTTGGTTTACCACGGGTATTATGAAGTAGTTTATGCCCTTTTGAAGACGACAGTTTATAGACCTTGAGTGGTACTTAACAAAATTTTGTCTGACCGTTTAGTGTTTGATATTTAGAAAAAAAAAAAAAAATCATCTTTGGCATTATATTAGTAGCATTCCAAAACTATAATTTATTTCCTCAGATTTTTTTGAATTTTGATTTTTTTTTCATTTTTTGGACTTGTTGGTTATACCTTTTCGATATTTTAAATTTTCTTGGATTTGAGTTTCTTGGGCTTTTTTTATCATCGGCAAAGTTGTAGATCATGGTCCAATAGTTAATTATCTACTACGGGTATTATGAAATAGTTTATGCCCTTTCCAGAAGAACTAATTTATTTCCCCAGATTTTTTGAATTTTGATTTTTAAATTTTTTTTTTAATTTGTTGGCAATATTCGATTTTTTGAATTACTTGAGTTTCTTGGGTTTTATGAATTGTTCGAATTTTTTAGATCTTTGGTTTAGGAGATTTTAAAGTCGATCATCAGCAAAGTTGTAGATTATGGTCTAATAGATATTTTTTTATGTTTTTTCGAAGGTGATAGTTTAGAGACCTTGAGTGGAACATACAAAATTTAATATTTACAAAAAAAAATCATCTTTGCCATTCTTTTATTTGTTGTATTCCAGAAAACTAATTTATTTCCTCAGAATTTTTAAATTTTGAATTTAATTTTTTTCATTTTTTTGGATTTGTTGGATATATTGGATTTTACTAAATTTCTTGAGTTTGTTGGATTTTTTAGAATTTTTGTTTATTTAGATTTATTCAATTTTTTCGACTTTTTGGATAAGTTTAATTTTTTGGATTTTTGAGAAGTTTTCGATTTTTTGAATTATTGGATTTCTTGAGTTTTTTGAGTTTCTAGGGTTTCTTGGACTTTCCAGATTTTTTAAATTTATGAACTTTTTTGAATTTTTTATTTTTTTGATATTTTCGATTTTTCGGATGATTGGATTTCTTGAGTTTCTTGTTTTTTTTTGGATTTCGCCTCAATCAGAGATCGTGGTTTCAATAATATAAATTAGCGCTGTCGCCGTACATTCATCTTTGCCATTCTTTTATTTGTTGTATTCGAGAAAAACTAAGTTATTTCCTCAGATTTTTTAAATTTTGAATTTAATTTTTTAAATTTTTTTTTGGATATATGTATTGGATTTTATTTCTTGAGTTTGTTGGATTTTTTAGAATTTCTGTTTATTTTGATTTATTCAATTTTTTCGACTTTTGGATAAGTTTTATTTTTTGGATTTTTGAGAAGTTTTCGAATTTTTGAATTATTGGATTTCTTGAGTTTTTTGAGTTTCTAGGGTTTCTTGAACTTTTCAGATTTTTTTAATTCACGAACTTTTTTGACTTGTTTATTTTTTTAATATTTTCGATTTTTCGGATGATTGGATTTCTTGAGTTTCTTGGGTTTTTTTTTGGATTTTGCCTCAACCAGAGATTGTGATTTCAATAATATAAATTAGCGCTGTCGCCGTACAACTGGCAATAAACTAATTGGCTTCAGTCAATTGCGTTTTCTGTTGACGTTACTGTGGCAACTATTCTTAATGCCCTAGGGCATTATTTGGTCAATCACGTACCTCAAGTCAGTAGCTTGTCAGCTTTTCAGAATTTCCAAAGACGTCGAAAAACTATTCATTACTTTGCAAAACATCTGGGAAATATATTTTTTTATTAGCTCATTTGTACTAGTTTATAATTTTTTTTCCTCGACCTATTTAGGTTAGAAATCTGCACTAAAAAATTAAAAAATCACAATTGGTCCAAGGTTATTTCGAACGAACTTCCCTCGTCCCGGAAGTGCAGCCCAATAAATCCACTTTCTTTGAAAAATTATACAAATTTTTTGTGATTTTTCGATTTGTAATTTTTCGAGTTTTTAAGATTAAATTTTTCAATTTTCCAACTTTTTCTCAAATTCCCTATTCGATTTTTTAATGTTTCGAATTTATAATTTTTCGTTTTTTCAATTTTCTTATTTCTTCAATTTTTAACTTTTCTTTTCTACATTCTCAATTTTTCGTTTCGGTTCTTTATTCTTTTGAATTTTTGATATTTTTTTCATTTTTTTAGATTTGTTGAATATATTCGATTTTTTGGATTTTTAGAATACATTTGTTTTTTTGGATTTATTCAATTTTTTCGACTTTTTGGATGATTTTTATTTTTTGCTTAATTTTCACGATCGGAGTGTGAGTTGAGTTTTTGGGCTCGACGTTTCGCACACTTTCATACGTGGCATCTTCAGAAGCAGGGTTGAGAAATCAGAAGAGTCTCGCCTCTGGCATGGTTGACATACTGAGTTGCCCTGCTCTTTTGCCTTCTTCCTAATTTCCCAACCCTGCTTCTGAAGATGCCAATTACGAAAGTGTGCGAAACGTCGAGCCCAAACACTCAACTGACACGGTCCCAACCCGGAAAACGATAATATATTTTCGATTTTTTTGATTTTTGGAATTATTGGATTTGAGTTTTTTTGAGTTTTGGATTTTTGTTAAGATTTTGTCTCTACAAAAGATCATGGTTTCAATAATATAAATTAGCACTGTCGCCGTATCTACACAACCAGCCATGGCAACTATTCTCAATGCCCTAGGGCATTATTTGGTCATTAACGTACCTCAAATCAAAGCCATTATAGACCGATAATAAAACGGTAAGACAAAATAATTTTTATAATGACGAACGCTATTTGTCCTAACTAAAAAACTGTAAAAGTCACATTATTTAGTTATATTACAGTCAATAAAATTATGAAAATTCAAGAAATAATTCGATTTACTGTGAAACTTTAATACACACAAATAAAACTTTAATACGAATAGAAGCGAAATGAAAACTTTGATTATTTGTGTAAGTTTCATGTATGAACTTTTTCAGAAATGGGTAGATAAAAGTCAAGGGGGAACGCATAATAGTTCCTCGTCAAATGAAGACAAGACCTATGGACATTAAAGGAAGCCATGCATGACCTTTGAGGAAGTCCCCAGATCCACCTTGAAGTAGACCTGGAAACATCAAAGGTTCACAAGCTTCCTGCAAACAAAGACCCTCCCACAGGAGTCCAGGGATCAAAATTATATATCTAACCCAAAATTTGGCAGACCAAGCGATCAATCAAGGCAAGATGAAGCCAAAGCACCAGGAAAAGACGAAAATGGAGGAAGTGGATCTTCAGGTTGGCTCCCAGATCCTCATTCGTACCATCAGGACCTAACGGTGACCAACGGGTTTGAACCCTGACGACTATCAAGGGAAAACAGAATTTGAACTTTGGCTTCCCGGAGCAAAGGTGCAACCGATAGAACAGGTTCACACAGGCCCACCCACACAATGCATTCCGAGGAGGAACTCGTCCCCAGGGTCACAACTCCTCCGCAAAAACTGGGCAAGCCCCTAAACCAGGCCCGAACCGATCACAGGATGTTCTGGTGTCTTTCTTCGAGCTTACCCGGAAGAGTGGGTACAATTTTTGTCACCACCCGTCAAACAATCTCGTCATAACTTACAACACAGGTCCGTACCGGCCTGCTTTTCCCGCTCCGTTATCGTCCATCAGCGTCATCCGGCGCCCCACAAAGTGGATCAAATTTCTACTTCGTGTCACTCTCTCGCAAAAAACGAAAAACGCACAATAGTCCGAAGAAAGTCGTTCCACTTTCCTCGTTAACAAAAACTTACACTTTCGCAGATAAACAATCGCCGTCTAGCCGAAACCGCGCCGCAGATAACCCTTATCTCCACCGAGATACCAATCACGACCGGCGATTCCATCCCGGATCGATCGAAAATACAAGAAAAACTCACTTCCGCCGCCCGACAGCGACCTCTTGAACCTCCTCCACAGGCACAGCAGCCTCGAGTAGCCGCCCTTGTGGCTTTTACCCAGGCCGTCGATCGCCGGCGCCGACCCCAACGTGGCGCTCTTCTTCACCGGCTTCTCCTCGGTCGCGGACAGGTCGAACACCGAGACGCACCTGCGCGCGTTTTTGCTCTTCTCGGGCATGCCGCCGGGGTACCTTTTGCACGCGCACTGCCTGCTGGAGGACGCATGCTCGCCCGTCTTCAACTCTTTGATGATGGGCTTAGAGGTCTCGTCGGCTTTCGGCGCCATTAGCTGCGAAAGTGGGATTGTCAAGGTGATGTGTGCGATTTAGTGCGCGGCGAAAAGCGAGCCATCCGGCGAGGAACGGTTCACCGATGGAAACTGAGGCGGATAAATCCGAGCCGAGGAGTATTAATTATCGAGGTGTCGTTATTTTTACGCCGACCGGTAAATATTTGGAAGGCAATTAATCGATGCGAGCGAATTGGAAAAACAAATCGGGAGATTTTTCCGTACGGGCAAAACATCACATGCTCGAGATGGAGAGTACAAAGACACTTAATACCTATTAGGGAGCTGCCGTCGGGAGGTAAACGTACGATCGGAGGTTTTCTTCGGAACATCCATGTTCCTAGCACTCCTTCCCACTTCATCGGAACGGTTTTATGCACATCTACGCGGTTTCTGCATCTGCGGTTCGACAACTTTTTTTAGACTACGCGGAGTTATCATATCTCGGGAAAATAAACCTGCTGCGGTGATAAAATAACAAAACGTTTGGAGATAACATTATTAAAAATAGAGGATCACGTGTCGAAGTGACGACACTTTACATTTTTGTTCTATGACTTTTAAGAGCAACAAACTGTCTCCCGTTTCGATTGACGTATCAAGCATTAATAATCGCCTATATTTAATCGGTTATTTATGCCTAATAATTACACTATTAGTCAGTTTATCGTGTCAATAATAGTTTGATTGTCGCTAAGTACACGTTAATATCGGGTCAGCTACGTTATATTTTTCAAGATTGTGCGTATTTTCTACACCGAATTTTTCTGTAAATTTTAGAAATGAATAAACGTATAATTTGGATTTTTAACACATACATACCATAAACATCATCTTCACTTTGTTTGTTTTTTTAATGTGGATTAAACACCGCAACATTTTCAAGAAATAATTAACCATTCCATGGAATCATTGATTACTTTAAATTTTAAATGCTTAAAACATGTTAAGCTTTGCTAAACAATTTTCAATGTCAGCGTTTCAGAATTTCCAAAGATGTCCAAAAAATATTCATTGCTTTGAACAACTACTCTCTAGTTTGACTATTGTAAAACATCTGGGAAATATATTTTTTATTAGCTCATTTGTACCAGTTTATACGACATTTTTTCCTCGACCTATTTAAGTTAGAGGTCTGCAGTAAAAAATTAAAAAATAAAAATTGGTCGAAGGTTATTTCGACCGAACTTCCCTCGTCCCTGAAGTGCAACCCAACAAATTCCGTTTTTTTAAATTATATTTTTTGCGACTTTTGTTTTCTATTAAATAAAAACCAATAGCGTAAATAACACTTCAGTTTTTCGATTTTGCAATTTTTCATTTCGGTTTTTCAATATTTCGTTGCTTAAATTTTTTCGATTTGCAATTTTCAATTTGTAATTTCAAGAGTTTCCAATTTTTAATTTTTCAATTTTTCGTTTTGATTTTTTATTTTCTGTATTTGTTCAATTTTGCAGTTTTCCAATATACTGGTTTTATAATTTTTTTCATTTTTCGTTTCTTTAGTTTTTCATTTGGAATTTCTATAGATTTCGTTTAAAAATGGAATAATAATTTCAAAAATTTTTCACTTTTTTAATTTTACGATTTTGGAATTTTTTAATTTTTAGATGTTGAATTTATTAATTTTTCGATTTTCCATTTTTTTTTGTTTTTTAGTTTTTCGATTTTTCCACTTTTCGAATAAAAAAATGGAAAAACTGAAAAATTGTACAATTGAGGATTGAAAAATGAAAAATCATAAAATGAAAAACCGAAAAAGTATAACATGAAAACTTCAAAATTGAAAATTTTTTTAAATTAAAAATCGAAGATTGAAAATTGGAAAATTTGAATAAACGAAAAATTGTGATATAAAATCAAGGAGAAAGGAAAATGAAAATACAAAATCAAGAACTTGAAGAACTGAGTCAACGAAAAATCGAAAAATTAAGAGAAATTGAAAAAATGAAAAAATTAAGAAAACGAAAAACCGAAAAATCCTGAAATCAAAATATGATCAAATCTAAGATAAAGAAAAAAAATCATAAATCAAGAACTTGAAAAATTGAATAAACGAAAAATTGTGATATAAAATCAAGGAGAAAGGAAAATGAAAATTCAAAATCAAGAACTCGAAGAATTGAGGCAACGAAAAATCGAAAAATTAAGAGAAATTGAAAAAATTAAAAAATAAAGAAAATGAGAAAACGAAAAATTCTGAAATCAAGAAATGATCAAATCTAAGAAAAAGAGAAAAATCATAAATTATGAACTTGAAAATTAAAGAAACGAAAAACTGTAAAATTGAGAAATTGAGACTCGATTACTTTACTTTTTTAACTAATATTCAGTAAGTAAAAATGACGAATTTAAAATGGTGTTCCAAAGGAAAACCAAACGTGATCATTTCGTAACTCTAGTTTTTTTCTCGATTTTTAGATCTTGTGATTTTTCGATTTTATAATTTTTCGGTTTTTCAATTTTGATTTATTCAATTTTCTTGTTTTTTTCCATTTTGAAATTTTGCAATTTTTCGCTTCTTTAACTTTCGATTTGTAATTTTTCATTTCGATTATTTTCTTTATTTTTACAATTTTTCTGATTTTGTTTTGTAATTTCCAATTTTTCATTTTTAATTTTTCAGTTTTTTTATTTTCAAACTTTTGGATGTTTCAATTTTTAGATTTGCAATTTGTCGATTTGTACGAGTTACCGTTTCGGTTTTTTATTTTCTTTATTTTTTCAATTTTTCAATATACTGGTTTTATAATTTTTCTCCTTTTTCCTTCTTTTTTTTTCACGTGAAACTTCCATTTTTCGTTTTCTCAATTTTAGATTTTTAAGTTTTTCGATTTTTCAATTTTTCGTTTCTTCAGTTTCTGATTTGTAATTTCTCTAGTTTTCATTTTAAACATATACTAATAATGATTATTATAATAATTTCAAATTTTTTTCACTTTTTCAATTTGACAATTTTCTTTTTTCAATGTTATTGTTTTTCGACTTTACAATTTTTCCATTCATTAATTTTTTCGATCCTCAAATTTCTCGTTTTCAGTTTGTTTGTTTGAAATCAAAACTTATAAAACTTTTTTGTGAGTTTTGCTTTCTGTTAAGTAAAAATCAGTGGCGTAAATAACACAACAGCTGCGAATTTTGACTAGAATTTTTCAATTTTTCAATTTAGTTTCATTTTTTTGTTTTTTCTGTTCTTCGATTTGCACTTGTTCGATTTTTCATGTTTTTAGATTTTTTAGTTTTTCGATTTTTCCACTTCGAATCAAAAATGGAGAAATTTAAAAATCAAAACGTGAAAAACCGAAAGAGTATAAAACGAAAATTGTGAAAAATCTAAAAATTGAAAATCATGAATTTGTAAAATTTTTCAAATTCATCATTTCCAATTTTCCGATTGAAAAAAATGAAGAAAATGAAATTTTTCAATTGACAGATTAAAAATTGAGAAATTTAAAAATCGAAAAATGCACAATCGGATAATAATTGAGGATCCAAAAATTGTAAAATTGAAAAATTTGAAAATCCAGGAAATGAAAAATCGAGGATTGAAAATCGGAAAATTTGAATAAACGAAAAATTGTGATATAAAACCAAGGAAAAAAGGAAAATGAAAAATCAAAATCAAGGACTTGAAGAATTGAGGAAACCAAACATCGAAAAAAAAAATTGAAAAATTTGGAAGCTGAGAAATTGAAAAATTGAAGAAAATTAAGAAAATGAAAAAAACGAAAAATTCGATTACAAGACTTCTTTAGCTAAAAAAAAAACAAAAAAACGGTGTTCAAAAATAAAGATGATAATTTTTGTCTGGGTCCTTTATTTTTTTTTATTGTTTCAATTGAATTTTTTCAATTTTTAGATTTTGCTATTTTTCGATTTGCAATTTTTCATTTCGTTGCTTCAATTTTCAAACCTTTGGATGTTTCAATTTTTAGATTAGTAATTCCACGGGGTTTCAAATTTTTTATTTTTCTATTTTTCGTTTCGGTTTTTAATTCTTAATTTTTTCAATTTTTCAGTTTTCCAATATCCTGCTTTTACAATTTTTGTTTTTTTCCAATGTAAATTATTTCAATTTTTCGTTTCTTCAATATTTGATTTGCAATTTTTCTAGTTTTCATTTTAAATATGTAATAATTTCAAAAATTTTTCACTTTGGCGTCTTTTCTCCTTTCCAATTTTTCGATTCATTGATTTTTTCGATTTTCAAATTTCTCGTCTTTAGTTTTCCTGTTTCAATTTCTGTGTCTTCAGTTCTTTTGATTTGCAATTTTTAGATTTTCTTCTTTTTCGATATTGCGATTTTTCATTTTTTCAGTTTTTTGTTTTTTCCACTTTTCGAATAAAAAAAATGGAAAAATTGTAGAATTGAAAAATCAAAAATGAAAAACCGAACAAGTATAAAATGAAAACTTTGAAAAATTAACAAATTAGAAATCAAAAAACTTGAAAAATTGAAAGATTAAAAATTCAGAAATTTAAAAAGCGAAAAAGTGCACAATGCACAATCGGATGATTGAAGATCCAAAAATTGTGATACAAAATCGAGAAAAAAAGGAAAATAAAAAATTAAAATCAAGAACTTGAAGAACTGAGGAAATGAAACATCGACAAATTAAAAATTGAGAAATTGAAAAATCGAAATAATGAAAAATTGCAAATCGAAAAATTGAAAAATTTGGAAGCTGCGAAACTGAAAAATTGAAAAAAATAAAGAAAATGAAAAAACGAAAAATTCGATTACTATACTTCTTTAGCTTACGTTCAGCAAGTCAAAATGACAAATTTAAAACGGTGTTCACAAGGAAAAATAAAGATAATTTTTTGTTTGGGTCGAAAAATTGCAAATCGAAAAATTGAAAAATTTGGAAGCTGCGAAACTGAAAAATTGAAAAAAATTAAGAAAATGAAAAAACGAAAAATTCCATTGCTATACTTCTTTAGCTTACGTTCAGGAAGTCTAAATGACAAATTTAAAACGGTGTTCACAAGGAAAAATAAAGATAATTTTTTGTGTGGGTCCTTTATTTTTTTATTTTTTCAATTGATTTTTTCAATTTTCTTGTTTCTTCAATTTTTAGATTTTGTTATTTTTCGATTTGCAATTTTTCATTTCGTTGCTTCAATTTTCAAACCTTTGGATGTTTCAATTTTTAAAATTGTAATTTCACGAGTTTCAAATTTTTTATTTTTATATTTTTCGTTTCGGTCTTTAATTTTCTTAATTTTTTCAATTTTTCAGTTTTTCAATATCCTGGTTTTAAAATTTTTGTTTTTTCCAATGTAAAATATTTCAATTTTTCGTTTCTTCAATATTTGATTTGCAATTTTTCTAGTTTTCATTTTAAATATGTAATAATAGTAATTTCAAAAATTTTTCACTTTGATCCTACACTTTGATTTTAGCGTCTTTTCTCCTTTCCAATTTTTCGATTCATTGATTTTTTCGATTTTCAAATTTCTCGTCTTTACTTTTCCTGTTTCAATTTTTGTGTCTTCAGTTCTTTTGATTTGCAATTTTTAGATTTTCTTCTTTTTCGATATTGCGATTTTTCATTTTTTCAGTTTTTTGATTTTTCCACATTTCGAATAAAAAAATGGAAAAATTGTAGAATTGAAAAATCAAAAATGAAAAACCGAACAAGTATAAAATGAAAACTTTGAAAAATTTAAAAATTAGAAATCAAGAACTTGAAAAATTGAAAGATTAAAAATTCAGAAATTTAAAAAGCGAAAAAGTGCACAATGCACAATCGGATGATTGAAGATCCAAAAATTGTAAAATTGAAAAATTAAAAAGTTGGAAAATCCAGGAAATGAAAAATCGAAGAATGAAAATAGGAAAATTGGAAGAAACGAAAAATTGTGATATAAAATCAAGGAAAAAAGGAAAATGAAAAATCAAAATCTAGAACTTGAAGAATTGAGGAAATGAAACATCGAAAAATTAAAGATTGAGAAATTGAAAAATCGAAATAATGAAAAATTGTAATTTCGAAATATTGCAAATCAAAAAATTTAAAAATTTGGAAGCTGAGAAATTGAAAAATTGAAAAAAATTAAGAAAATGAAAAAAAAAAAAGAAAAATTCGATTACTATACTTCTTTAGCTTACATTCACCAAGTAAAAATGACAAATTTAAAACGGTGTTCAGAAGGAAAAATAAAGACGATAATTTTTGTTGGGGTCCTTTATTTTTTAGATTTCGCGATTTTTCGATTTAAAATTGCCCGATTTTCAATTTTTAATTTTTTGAATACCAATTTTTCATTTCTTTTTTTTTTTCAATTTTTCGTTGCTTCATTTTCAAACCTTTGGATGTTTCAATTTTTGGATTTGTAATTTGACGAGTTTCAAATTTTTTATTTTTCTATTTTTCGTTTCGGTCTTTAATTTTCTTTATTTTTCAATATCCTGGTTTTACAATTTCTGTTTTTTTCCAATGTAAAATATTTCAATTTTTCGTTTCTTCAATATTTGATTTGCAATTTTTCTAGTTTTCATTTTAAATATGTAATAATAATTTCAAAAATTTTTCACTTTGATTTTATAATTTTTTCGATTTTCAAATTTCTCGTTTTTAGTTTTCCTGTTTCAATTTTTTGTTTCTTCGGTTCTTCGATTTGTAATTTTTAGGTTTTCCTCTTTTTCGATTTTTCGCTTTTTCAGTTTTTTGATTTTTCCACTTTTCGAATAAAAAAAAATGGGAAAATTGCAAAATTGAAAAATCAAAAATGAAAAACAGAAAAGGTATAAAATGAAAAATTTAAAATTGGAAATGAAGAACTTGAAAAATTGAGAAAGAATTAAAGATTGAGAAATTGAAAAATCGAAATAATGAAAAATTGTAATTTCGAAAAATTGCAAATCAAGAAATTGAAAATTTTGGAAGCTGAGAAATTGAAAAATTGAAAAAAATTAAGAAAATGAAAAAAAAATCGATTACTATACTTCTTTAGCTTACATTCACCAAGTAAAAATGACAAATTTAAAACGGTGTTCAGAAGGAAAAATAAAGACGATAATTTTTGTTGGGGTCCTTTATTTTTTAGATTTCGCGATTTTTCGATTTAAAATTGCCCGATTTTCAATTTTTAATTTTTTGAATACCAATTTTTCATTTCTTTTTTTTTTCAATTTTTCGTTGCTTCATTTTCAAACCTTTGGATGTTTCAATTTTTGGATTTGTAATTTGACGAGTTTCAAATTTTTTATTTTTCTATTTTTCGTTTCTTCAATATTTGATTTGCAATTTTTCTAGTTTTCATTTTAAATATGTAATAATAATTTCAAAAATTTTTCACTTTGATTTTATAATTTTTTCGATTTTCAAATTTCTCGTTTTTAGTTTTCCTGTTTCAATTTTTTGTTTCTTCGGTTCTTCGATTTGTAATTTTTAGGTTTTCCTCTTTTTCGATTTTTCGCTTTTTCAGTTTTTTGATTTTTCCACTTTTCGAATAAAAAAAAATGGGAAAATTGCAAAATTGAAAAATCAAAAATGAAAAACAGAAAAGGTATAAAATGAAAAATTTAAAATTGGAAATGAAGAACTTGAAAAATTGAGAAAGAATTAAAGATTGAGAAATTGAAAAATCGAAATAATGAAAAATTGTAATTTCGAAAAATTGCAAATCAAGAAATTGAAAATTTTGGAAGCTGAGAAATTGAAAAATTGAAAAAAATTAAGAAAATGAAAAAAAAATCGATTACTATACTTCTTTAGCTTACATTCACCAAGTAAAAATGACAAATTTAAAACGGTGTTCAGAAGGAAAAATAAAGATGATAATTTTTGTTTGGGTCTTTTATTTTTTAGATTTCGCGATTTTTCGATTTAAAATTGCCCGATTTTCAATTTTTAATTTTTCGAATACCAATTTTTCATTTCGTTTTTTTTTTCAATTTTTCGTTGCTTCATTTTCAAACCTTTGAATGTTTCAATTTTTAGATTTGTAATTTGACGGGTTTCAAATTTTTTATTTTTCTATTTTTCGTTTCGCTCTTTAATTTTCTTTATTTTTCAGTTTTTCAATATCCTGGTTTTACAATTTCTGTTTTTTTTTTCCAATGTAAAATATTTCAATTTTTCGTTTCTTCAATATTTGATTTGCAATTTTTCTAGTATTCATTTTAAATATGTAATAATAATTTCAAAAATTTTTCACTTTGATTTTATAATTTTTTCGATTTTCAAATTTCTCGTTTTTAGTTTTCCTGTTTCAATTTTTTGTTTCTTCAGTTCTTCGATTTGTAATTTTTAGGTTTTCCTCTCTTTCGATTTTGCGATTTTTCGCTTTTTCAGTTTTTTGATTTTTAATTTTTTTCGGTTTTTAGAATTTTCGATTTATCCACTTTTCGAATAAAAAAAACGGGAAAATTGTAAAATTGAAAAATCAAAAATGAAAAACAAAACGTATAAAATGAAAAATTAAAAAATTGGAAATCAAAAACTTGAAAAATTGAGAAACGAAAAATTGAAAAATGCAGAAAAATTGAAGGAATTACGAGTTGAAAAAAGATAAATTATAAAACCGAAACATTAAAAAATAGAAAAATTGAAAAAAAAAATAAGAAAAGGAAAAACCAAAAATTTTAACCTAAGACCGGCAAAAACCATGACCGAGTAAAACAAACATTTCTCACGAAATACAGCAACTACTAAAATCCACCCTAGTTATGCCTCCGCATAGTTTCGTAACCCCCATTATCGCGCATTTTTTCCACGTTACAAGTGCTTCCGTTTGCACGCGTACTTGTAGGTTTTCTTCGAACCTTACTGCTGTCGATCCGCCGCGGCCAACTCGATTCCCACACGTTTTCCGCACTCATACGTCATCCAAATGTGCAGAAAATCCCGTTAAAAATAATAACGCCCGCAGCTTAACCTCCGCTCGATTTTATCACCATAGAAACAATTGTCGCAGCAATAATTATTACATCCATTCATTTATATAAATAATCCCGTTTAATCTCTCACGAACGGCCGGCTTCGAATTTTAATTGGATTTAATTACGGACAAATGGGGGAGAACGCACCCGCTGTCACCGCGAGCGAAACGCGTTAGAGGACGCCGAAAACAGTATCTAAATTTTGATCTATAATTACACCTATTAAGACAAACAGGTCACGGTTTTCGGACAAACAAAACCAGGGACGATTTCCTTCAATTGGATAATAAATAAGCGAAATATGAAATTACCGGCTTGACACTGACACTAATTCTCAAAAACGAAAATTAATTTTTAATAACTGGGCGCTCGCAACGAAATAGACCTCGCCGGACCACTTTTACTTCCCGCTCGCTCTTCGTCGCCCACTTCGCTCGATTTGTTCGATTTCGATTCACAATCGCACCACCCAATTCGAGAACAACCACCACAATAGAGTGACGTCACGGGCCCGCGACGTCAGCGCCTTCCCGGCGAAATGGGTTGGGTTGGCAACAGCCACACAGACTGTGACAATTATCTGATAAGAGTGCACTTCTTCGCGTCACTATCTATCTACACATCAGCACACAAAGGGCACACGCGTTTCGAACTTCCAGCACCGTTCCATTCTAAGCGTCCGTCCGAGAGCACTCGCGCTTGCTGCAAGACTGACTGATCTTGGGTCTTGAGAGTCGGAGTGAATGTCACGACCAAGATATTTACTTTCCAATAATAATTCTCGACTCGTACGACAAATATTTACGGTTCATGTAAACACGGCGAAGATAATCGGCTGCCATTTGGGGGAAATGTGCGCGAACACTGGTGGAAAGTCGGCGGTGAGTAAGAGCGATACCATCTGATAAGATAAATATTGATAAAGTGCGAGAAGAGGAGCGTCGGGGGGTCGATAGGATGAGTTTTTTCCTCCTTGAGATTAATGAATGCACTGTTTTAATAATAACCGGAGGCGGTAAACGCGCCGCTGTAAATAGAGATTTTAAGACGGTTTAATTGGCTATTTCTTCGCGAGAGCCTTTCGGCGAGAGAGCGAAAATAAACACGAGGAGAGTCTGACGCTATTTAAGATCGTGGGGCGCGGGGCGAGCGAGATGTTTAAACGTGAAGCGTGTATGGGGAAAGTGATGAATGCTGGCTATACAAGGTAAGATTAGGTGGTTTTTGTTTTGTTAACTAACATATCACGCGTTTTTGTGGAAATTCTGCACTTAATACTCATTGGCGGATATATCGATATCTCAAAAGAAAAAAAAAAAAGCGATAAAACAAGGAGACAAAAAAGAGGAAGAAAGAATCCAAGAATCTACCAAAAGTGAGAAAAAAAGGGCAATAAAGTGACAATAGTTAAAAGTGTATCAAGGTCATAAAGAAGAACTTTTTCAGCCGATCTGAATAGGCCGAAAAAGTTCTCTTTGGTCAAAATATATACAACGTTTCTTACAGAAAAATAATTAGTTATGTAAGTGATTTTGAGGTTAGAAAATATGTTTTCGTTGTTGGAGTACATATTCTGGAGATTTGATAAAAAACCAGAATCCCACTATGCTCTTGTACTAAGAAAAAAATTATTACCGTCATTTTTCATAACGTTATTCAGTAAAAGTTTTTTTATTTTACAACATTTTGGGACAAAAACGCAAGGGCGAGGACGCAAAAGTAAGTTTTCGACATCTGAGTACAAAAAAGTGACAAATCAGTGCAAAAAAATTACATGTGAGTAAAAAAAAGTAATTTGAACATTTCAGTACAAAAAAAGACACTTCATGGATGTCACTAGGGACGTAAAACGACTAGATTTGTAGTAAAAAAAATGCTAAAAAAGATGACAAGGAACAGCAAAAAAAAATTCAGAAAACTGAAGAAAGGGGAGAACAAAAAAAGAGGAAAAAGGCAGCTTAAAAGTAGGTTAAAAAAAAAAGGGAACAAAAAAGTGACCAAACAAAAACAACGAAAGGAACAGTGAGTAAGGGATGACGAAGTAAAAGGGCGACAAAAAGCGTAAAAAAAAAACTCCCAAAAAGACTCCCGAAAATGGCAAGAAAAAAAAAGTGTGAAGAAAAGAGCAAAAAAGTTATGAAGAATAAAGCGCCAAGAAAGATTATGAAAAAGAACAAAAAAGACGCCAAAAGAGAGGAAAAACAAAAAATAAAAAACAAAAAGTAGGTGCTAAGTTAAGACCGATTTTAGCAAATGAGATACCCTCTAAGGAAAGAGAGGGTGGGTGGGTGGGGCTAGTACTCTTTAAGATAAGACTGATTTTGGCAAATGACATACCCTGTAAGAAAAGAGCGGGTGGGTGGGTGGGGCTAGTACCTGCAAATGACGTATCATCTAAGAAATTTAATTAAATTACTATAAGAAAAGACACTAGAGGATCCAAAGCACTTTTAAATTCTTTCCAAACAGGAATACCTAGAACCCGAAGATTATTTTGAATTTTTCAAAAAAAAAGGTCTCAAAATTAACAGGTGGTCAGGTCAGAATTTTCCTAAAATAGAATACCAGTCTCCCAAAATTCTTTTAAATAATTTACAAAAAAAATCTCCCAAAATAATACACCATGGGTACCCAGGAATTTTTTACTATAAAAGAGCCAAAAAATGGCGATTGAAAGACGGAAACAAAAAAAGCGCCAAAAAAGTTACCAAAAAACCGAACGAAAAAAGTGAGCAAAGAGAAGACGAAAAAGGATGACACAAAATCCTCAAAAAAAGCCCAAAAAAGACTCCCGAAAATTATAGAGAAACAAGTAAAAGAACAAGGCTTGAAACAGATCACCAAGAGTGTGGAAAAAAGAGCAAAAAAGTTATGAAAATAAAAGGCGCCAAAAGAGAAAAAACGCCAAAAAGTGGTGGAAAAAAAGGCGAAAAATGGCATTTAAAAAAGGAGAACAAAAAAATCACCACAAAAGATTGAAGACAAATGTGATCAGATCAAGCGAAAAAAAAGGAGACAAAGAAAACGAAGAAAAAAAAAAGGTTCAAAAATAAAGATGAAATAAGACGGCAAAAAAAAGCCACAAAAAAGACGATGATACAGAGGTGACAAAAACAGGCAACCAAAAAGTACAAAAACCACCAAAACTCGCAAAAGACCACAAAACAAAGGTGAAAAAAGGGAAAAAATGCAATACAAAGCCAAACAAAAAAAAATCAAATGAGCGCGATTAAAAATATAAACAAATATTAAAAAAGGAGACAAAAAGGCGTCAAATAAGGGCGAATAAACGATACAAAAAGAACCAAAAAAAGCTCCAAAGAAAAAAGGTAGCAATAATACATTTCTATCGTCTTTTTTCCACATTTTTATTATGTGGAAAAAAGACGATAGAAAAAGAGGCAATTAAAAAAATGGACAAAAAAGCGGCAGAAGGGTGAACAAAAAAAAATGATAAAAAAGCCACAGAAAGGGGCGATAAAAAAGGACCACCAAAAAAAAACAATAGGGGGCAAAAAAAGACAACAAAAAAGGAAGAAAAGAAGGTTCCAGAAAGAGTAAAAAAACTCAAAAAAAAAAAAAGAGAAATGTTAACAAAAAGGCTTGCAAAGTTTCAAGAGCATTCGGTTTTGCAGGGAACAAAAAAAAGGTGACAAAAAAGCGAAAAGAAACGACAAAAGTATGAAAAAAAAATACAACAAAAAACGGAAAAAGGGCGATTAAAGAAAGGAAAAAAGTCGCAAGACGAAAAAAAAATAAAAACCATAATAAAAAGAGAACAGAAAAAAGAAAAAGGGGACAAAAAGCCACAAAAAAAGACAGGCGATAAAAATAAGGCATAAAAAAAGTGGAGAAAAAACGGCCAAAAGGTGACAAAAAAGCCAAAAAGTTACCAAAAAACAGAATGAAAAAATGAGAACAGGACGAAAACAGTGTCAAAATATTCGGTAACAAAAGGTGAGATAATGGGCGTTTAAAAAAAAAGGATAAAAAAAGTGCCAACAAAAGGCTCCCAAAAATGACAACAAGAGCGAAAAAAGTAAAAAACAATGGCGAAAATAAGGCAACCAAAAGGAACAAAAAAAAATCGCCAAAAATTTGGAGTAAAAAAAAAAGACGGCAAAAAGGAGAGAAATACAACGTGTCAAAAAGGAGAGAAAACAACAAAAGACTACCAAATGAGAAAAAAGGACAAAAAAAAAAAAAACAAAAAAGTGCCAGGAAGCAAAAAAGAGGAGAAAAAAAAGGCGCTAAAAAAAGAAAAAGAAAAAGCGCCTAAAAATGGTTAGAAAAGGTGATGAAAAAGAATAAACAAAAGCAGAAAGTAAGAAAAAAAAAACCTCAAAAAGGTAAAGGTGACCATTTAAGAAACCAAAAAAAGAGCAAAAAAGACAGAAAAAAGGCGACAAAAAAGTGAAGGAAAAAAGACGTCAAAAGAAGTAGGTAATAAAAAAGGGAGAAAAGAGGCCATTAAAAAAGGGAAAAACGACAAGGGCACAAAAAGTAAAAAAAAACAAGGGCCAAAACAACGTGACTAAAAAAAGAGAAGAAAACAGTTCACAAAAAAGAAAAAAAAAAGGCGACAAAAAAAGGGGGAAAAAGTGACAAAAAAAAAGGAAATTAGAAAAAGGCCACAAAAAGGCTACCAATGGCAAAGGAAAGTGACAATAATGAGACAAATGGCAAAAAAAAGGGTAGACTAAAAGGGCGTCCAAGAGAAAAAAATGTGCCTAAGACGACCAAAAAGAGCAGAAGAGTTGAAAGGGAAAACGGTGACAAAAAAAAGAGCGAAAAAGCGCAAAAATGTCATAAAAAAGGCAAAAAAAAAAAAAACAAAAAAATGGAACAAAAAAGCACAAAAGCGACAAAAAAGGGGGAAAAATGAGCAGAAATGGACCGAAAAAAGCTATCAGACAAAAGAAGAGAAAATGGGCGATTAAATAAAAGGGAAGTCAAAAAAGCCCCTCCCCCTCAAGAAGAAAAAAAGAACGAAAAATAAGTAAAAAAACAAGAGTGAAAACAAGGCGACAAAAAAAAGGGGAGCAAAAAGAGGAAAAAAGACGATAAAAAAAAATGAAAAAAGGAGAAGGAGAAAAAGGCTACAAAAAGACTACTCAGAAGCTAGAAAAAGAGACAAAAATGAGACAAAAGGCACAAAAAGGTAGACTAAAAAGCGTCCAAGACGACGAAAAAGAGCAAAAGACTTCAAAGGGAAAACGGTTACAAAAAAAAAATGAGAGAAAAAGCGTAAGTCAAAAAAAGAACGAAAAAATGCCAATTAAAAAAGAAAAGTAAAACTCATAAAAAAGGAAATCAAAAAACGCATAAGTGACAAAAAAGGTGCGAAAAATGAACAGAAAAGGACCAAAAAAAAGCTATTAGATTTTTAAAAAACAGAAAATGGGTGATTAAATAAAAGGAAAACTAAAAAGCTCCCCAAAGAATAAAAAAGAAAGCAAAAAAATTAAAAAACAAGACGACAAAAATGGGGAAAAAAGAACAGAGAAAAAGGCTACAAAAAGACTATCAAAGGCTAAAAGTGACAAAAATGAGACAAAAGGAAAAAAAAAAGTTGACTAAAAAGGCGTTCAAGAAGAGAGAAAAATATGCCGAAGATGACGAAAAAGAGCAGATTAGTTGAAAGGGAAAACGGTGACAATAAAAAATGGGAGAAAAAGTGTAAAAAAGTCATAAAAAGAACGAAAAACGCCAATCAAAGAAAAGCAAAAAGCATAAATAAGAAAAGCAAAAAACGCATAAGTGACAAAAAAAGTGCGAAAAATGAA